ATAAAGGAGGAAATTTCTGGTGATCTAATACTGGATGTCAGGTAAGTAGTCTTATAATTTTACCACTGGTGCACAAGTAGAGAGGTGGTGGGAACATTAAAACTAGGTGTCGTCAGCGTACATGTAAAAATCAACACTGCCTTTAGGTGATGATACCAAGGACAATGTGCCAATGAGAAAATGGAGGGAGTCATGATTAACATCCTGGAGGATACATGAAGCAATGGTATGGGAGCAGGGAGAATGGCCTTTGCAGGTGATTTTCTTGTTGCAGTCAGATAAGAGCAGACGTAAGCAGGTACAAGTCCAATCCAGCTGAATGAATGACTGACTGACTGTGCAGAGGCATCACAAGAAATGTGTGTGATTAACCATGTTAACTACTGCAGATCGGTCAACAAGGTTGCAGAGGGATGGTTTACCTTAACCACAGCCACATAGGATGTCTTTCTGATAAGAGCTGTTTCAGTACGTGGCGGAGGCAGGTAAGTTGACTGGATGGATTTAAACATGGAATTCCATGGAAGACAGGCATGGACTTTTGGGAAAGATATGAAGTTGAAGATTAGATGGTTTACAAGCATGGTCAGGTTGAAATTTTCTTTTTGAGGAGAGGATTCTTGAGGGTAACATGACATGGGCTAGGTAAACATTTGTATGTTATTTAAGAATCTTGGCAGAACAGAACAAGAACAGGCTGTTCTCTTTGAAATGAAGTGATCGTTCTCATACGAGTAAAGGTCGGACTCCTTTTGTGCATTCTAAAAGGTATCGTAAATTAGTGAGATAAACGTCTGGTTAATTTACTTGATTTTTATGTGTTGGTTGACGGAGAAATATCGCTGAGGACGGAAGATAACTATTCTTTAATAGTGCTGCGTATTTTTACAGTTTGCAAAAAACTGAGCAGGTTGACATTCCAGAGAATTTACAGTTGGAACTAAGTGCAGATATATTTTGTTTCCAATTCCACTCCTGTAAAAATGTGTTTACATTTTGGGACAAGTTAATGTCAAGTTGGAATGACAAGTTGTAATGTTGTTGTTTTGTCATGTTTGAGTGCTTTGCTCACTCTAGTGGTGTAATTCAGTAGCAGCAGGTGAAGTAAAAGATATTGTTGGTTGTATCAAAGGAGGGATTTCTCTTCAGGAAAGTACTTCAGTGAGACGAGATATATGGCACATATCTGCTAGCAATTCCATATGCATTTTTTTGGGCCATCTTGAATGACATTTGATACAGAAAGAATTATGGCTTGCACAAAGATCAATGTTTTTGACCATTGTCGCTGGTCATGTCCAGTTGTTCTAAAGTAGAACAGTTAGCTTCCAAAATATTGCAACAATGTGAGTTGATCACTTTTTTTTTTTTTTTGTTTTTAATTTAAAATAATCCATCTTGAAAATAGTGGTCTCCATACAAGATTTGGAACTGGTTGTTCATCCCCTTTTGCTGCCATGGGATCCTTTTTGTGCAAATGTTGACAATTGTGATTTGACTGAAAAAGCATTTGGATATGTCCTGGGAAACGTTTTAAGGTGCAGTAAAAAAGGGAGTTTACTTTTTTAAATAAAAATCTTGGTAGAATGAAACAAGAAAAGCCTGCTTAGATTGCTCAAGCTGTCTTTTTGTACCTGTTGAACCTTTTCCGTTTGTCCCTTGTAAACACTCACCTGTACAAAGTTCAGAGTGGATAGCAAAGCATATGTGAGTCTGGGCTTCATTACTCGATTTCTCTTCTCCATTACAAAAGCAGGAATGTTCTGCTGAACCTGTTCTGTAAAGTTCTGATTAGGCCCCAACTAGACTCTTGTGTTCAGTTCTCGTCACCGCACTTCGGTACAGATGATAAGTTGTTTGAATGTGTGCAGAGGAGACTTAAGAATTATTTCGGGGATAAGGGGGTTTTAATTAAAAGGTTAATTTGGAAAGAGTGAGTTCGTCCCGTTTTGAACAAAGGAAATTGAGGATAGATTTAAGAGTTGGACAAGTTTATGACTGTCTAGGTAAAGTGGATTACGAAACTCTCTTTCCACTAGTAAATGGAAACACAGGATTGCTGGGGTTACAGATTTGAGATGTGGGCACGAGATGCAGAGGTTCTGTGAGAAACAAATTTCATGCAGTGAGTAGTTATACCCCACAGGGATCGTCTGATTGGTAACAAATGATGAATCCAAAAGGAAATTGGATGGACACTTGAAGAAAATGAATCTGCATGGCTAAGGGGAGGGTGGGTCAAGCAGGGGAGTGGGATTGACTTCATTGCTGTGTGGGAAGTTGGTGTATATTTGGAAGGCCAAGTGACAACCTCCAGTGCCAATGGTATGAATTTTACAGAGAGCTAAATGACCTGCTATCCACTGCCCTGAGCTAGAGTTAATCAGCTAGAGACTGCTCTGCAATCTGTCTACCAGCTCTGTAATCCCCACAATACCAGAACAGTTTGGAGGCTACTGCTGGGACTGCGCAGATGGATACCAGACTTGGGTGTGCATGGCTGGGAAACTCCAGTAATGGGTGGGGTGGTGTGGGAGATTAAGTTTAAAGGTTGGCTACTATTCAGGGAACACCCCCCATTTCCTCCCCACTCCTCAGAAGCTGCACCACTACCCTTCTTGCCCTCCAACAGTGTGTGCGTGGAAAACTGCTTTTTTTTTTCCCCTGCCTTAGCCTACAAACTGATACAGTGAGGTGGAGGCCAAAAGAAACCCTTCAGTGGCAGCTAATTGTCCCCTTTTGGGGCTTCACCAGCCATAGGATCGCTGGAGTACCTGACACCTTAACCCCCTGTAAAAGAGGGGACAGGTTGGGCTTTATCATACTGTCCTTCTGCTTTTGAATGCACCAGCCTGGCACCATAAAACTCGCCCTTGCCCTTCAAGGAACATCTTGACTTCCGAGTCATTGGATTAGACATGACAGACTGGATTTTATCAAGTAATTAAATGATGAAAAGAAAGTCTTAAAGAAACATCTCCTAATAATTTCATAAAAATGGTAAACTGTGATGATTTTTCCTTGCATTTTTGTCAGTTACATACATAAGAATCTTGTGGCACAGTGAGTAGTGTCAATGCTGCTGAGCCAGAAACTCTAGGCTCAGGCCCCATGCCACACCTTGATGGTTTAGGAGGGTGACGTTTATAGAGGTTGATTAAAACCATGATGCTTAGATAAAGGTGAATAGTCCAAGGCTTTCCCCTCTGGGTAGGGGGAGTCCAAAACTAGAAGGCATAGGTTTAAGTTAAGAGAGGAAAGATTTAAAAGGGACCTGAGGGGCACTAAATGTGGAGCTGGAGAAGTACAGCTGGTTAGACAGCATTTGAGGAGCCGGAAAGCCAATGTTTCGGGTCGAAACCCATCGTTATGACCCGGACTGAATAGGTACATTAATAGGAAGGGTTTAGATATGGGCCAAATGCTGGCAAATGGGACTAGATTAATTTAGGATATCTGGTCAGCGTGGACGAATTGGACCAAAGGGTCTGTTTCTGTGCTGTGTAACTCTGTCTCTAAGATATATCCACAGTATTTGGCTGTTTTTTTTTGATAGCTAGTATGGATTAATTGGTGTCAACAATATGGATTTCAATTCCTACTTGAGCTTGTGGTTTTAGGATCTGCTTATTTGTCCTCCCGTGGAGGTGTTTACTTAGCTTCAGGAGAGAATTCAAAGAGAAGACACGTATTTATATCACAATGTAAATGGCTTGTGGTAATCCATACGTAGTATGGGTTCCATTATGGTAGCCCTTTTTAGTTTTGTGAAGTTACCAGTGCCAGCTGAGTTCTAACCATTTTGTCTTGGCAGAGAGATTTTGTACAGCAGGATATGGGAATGCAACAATCGCTTACTAAAATTGACAAGCTAATAGAGAACAGATCCAAATTTTCGCTTAACTACCCGTGACTAATCCATTAACCCAATAGCTTTATTTTTGCTTTTTTTTTGGACAACATAGTACTTAACATGTTCCTGGAAGTGAGGTGCAAATAGATACTGCCTTCCACTGAATGTTTTGGAAAATCAATCCAGTCATGCTATTTTTGTTTCTTTTGGGACATGATGTGTGTACTGTCTGTTATGCTGTGTCTTCTGTATATTAATAAACCTCATTGACTTTCCCTGATAATGTATTGCTATATCTTGTTGTCAAGATTTGAATGACAGTTCTCATCACAGCAAATAGTTTGCCCTATGTGGATGGAGAAGCATGTGTGCACTTTAGTGCTGAGGGTGTTTTGCTTATGTCAGCCAATTTTATAAACACAAGCACAGCAATGCAGTGAAAGCAAATGGACTAAGTTTTGGTAACTGTGCAAGGGAGGTTTACCACTAAGGCTATGTTAGTATAGTGGTCAGCTGGCACTTGGACTGCTGAATATTAAATGGACTAATATAGCTGAAAAATGTCCTAGGTTTGACCTTCAGGTCACTGAGTTAGCTGCTCACAGCCACAGGCTGCAAAAGGCAACAAATCTGCATGCATGTATGTGAGGGAGAGCAAAATTCAACCAAGTTTGCCCCTTTCCATCTCCTGACCCTTGATGTTCCATGCAGTTGCAACACTATAATTTGGATGGCCTGTATAGTTTGTTAACCTGTCAACACTTGCTGTGCAGGCTTGCCTATGAGAAAAGTACTCAGACACAGACCAAACTCTTGATTTATCTGTGTTAGAGTTGCCTTGTTTGAATTAATACTTTCCGGAAATTGGAGCAGATAACTGGAGGGGACAAGATAACCAAAACCTCATTCCTCTTAAAAGGTGTTAATTAATGTGGACAAGTCATGTGCATAACTTCTTTTTAAGACTATATTGTCAGTACTGTGAAAAGCTAAATGTTCAAATGTAATTAGACCAGTTGTTGTATTACAGTATAAAGCGGGCTTATTAGTGTTCTTTGAAATATTTTTCTCTCAATGACCAAAGGGATGAAACAAAAATACTGAGTGTCTTTAAACTGCTTACCTAATTTTTCTTTTTATTTTACAGGTAAGTAAATGAACATTATTATGAGGAACTGACATGGAAAGATGAGCACCATGTTACAGAAGGTACCTGTTCTGTTTTTCTAGCATATTTAAGCTCTGCTCTGAGCAGTTACCACTGCTAGATGGCTGGTCTAACACCGAACTATGTCAAAATAACTTAACCCAGAATCCCTTTCAATAAGATTAGCGGTCCATATGTGATGCTCCTCTACGTCATTTGTTGGTTGTGCTACCAACGTACACAGCAAAAAATAAGACCATTCTCCTGCAGTTACAAGGTTCAAATGTTTTTTTTAAAAAAAAAAAAAATGGTTTGTATCAGAGGGTAGAGAATGGATCCAGCAGGAATGTTAACTGGAGAATTTGTAACAAGAGTTTTTAAAATTGCTTGTTTTAATAAATCTAACCTTTTGTGTAGCTTTTAAGAGTGAGTTCTCCAATTATAAATGTTCTTAAATCCTTTGAATTTAGGACTGATGAGTTATGGCGTTAATAGGCACTCTGGCTTATGGTATCATGGTACCATGGTACCATAGTACCATAGTACTGGAGTAATTTCTCTGAAGTCATTGCAGCATATGTTTGGCCTCCTGGCTATACATAGGATGTCTGCGGTTCAATTGAAGTGACCTCCACCGAGGCAACTTGAACCCAGGTCTAAACTGCATTGCAGAGGCAGAAATGTGTTTTAGTTTTCTAGTTTTTCAACTTCAAGATGGCCTGGAGGAGCAAAGATAAGTCTTTTTGCAAGGAGTCTGAACCAAGCCGAATAAAACCAGGCCACATGATTGAAACATCTCAGCTTGGATGGGTTTAATTTTTTAACCTACGTTGACTTCAGTATGACAAATGGAGAAATGAGGTAATCTTCGGTCAAATAGAACACTGTATACACGTCTGCTGCTTTCATTTCTTCATTTTGGGTTGCTATTCCTGATGCTATTATGGCCATGAGGCACTTCACGAACAATCCAAGAAGTGAGTTAATTCAAGATACATGAGCTACTTAATTTACAGTGGGAGGCAGAACTTAGTTTACCTCTAGATTGAATTGAGACCAGCTGTAACTGGCCTGAGTGTCTATTGTTGAGATTACCAGCAATATGGTAGTACACGTGTGCATTTTGGATAAAGGTATGATTCAACGTAGTGGTTATTTAATCTTCCAACTCGAATGCCAAGTTTGCCCATCAACAATGATCAATGGGTGGGATACCAGAATGGCAATTATTCATTTGAACTGAAAACCATCCTGGACAGCTGAACGAAAAGGTTGTAACACAAACACTACCTGATATGCATCTTGCTTGAGCATTGAATGCTGGACAGATATTGTGATAATACTATTTTGTACTGTCATCAGTAAGGGAAGGGAAGACAGAAACTGGGCTTATTTTAAATAAAAACTGAGACAGTGAGATTTTGTGAATTTTAAGTATGCCATTTGTGACCATAGATAAACTAATTAATTTTCACAGTGTTAGAGTTAGTTTAATATTCAGTTTGAATGAATATTTCCCTCTTTCCCAATCCCACCCTGTAATTTATCTTTACCTCCCAGTTTTTTTAGCTCCATTACCACCATGCTGTGCACTGTTCTGTATCTAAGCAGACAGACAGACTCAGTTTGTCAGTGCTGCTTTATAGTTGGTTGTCAGCAGATGTGTGAAGATTGCCAAGACTGTTTTGCCTTTAAATATTCTTTACTTCCTGGATAGCTGGCTGAGTGTTCCCACTGTCAGGTAATTTAATGTTCTGGTACATCAGCACTTAGAAAACGTTGCCCGACGATTAGGCCTAGAAATGGTCCAAAAGGATTGTTAAGATTTGGTGTCTTGTAAAGAAACAAAAATATTATTACTGCTGTAATTATAGTTGCTCTCTGCAGAATGTGACATGGCCCATAATTCATGTGACCGACAATCCAAGTTAACAAATATAAATTGCAAGTTTCAGATGTTTCATGTATCAGCGAATAAGATATTAACCAAAAGTCCAAAAAGCAGGAATGCCAGCAGCTGATGTGAATCTTAAAGGGAGCTTTATATTTTATTTTTTAAAATGAATAATATTAACATATATTTTTCACAAGAGAAAAATCCCCTTTTTTTGAAGTGCTTTGGTTTCCGTGATACCCCTCGTGGCTAAATGCATTGTGATATCAAGTACTGTGTTTGTTGCTTTATGGAATTTTGTGCTTTATAATGAGAATGTTAACCATAATAATTACATTTTGCTTACCAATTTTCCTGATGTGGATTGACATGTTTCCAAAGTATGACAAAAAATAGAAAACATCATATTGTTAAAATGGCTGGCTTGTAGTTTACAATTAGGTCAGCAAACATTCTGTAGTACACTTCTTGGAATTAATTCTTGGAAGGCTTAGATAATGCAACTAATTGTGAAAACAATGCTGGAGTAATCTATATTGTCTCAAACCCTCTGTTTCATTTGCGTTGAGAATTATGCAGTGGCGCATCCTCAACAATTTCACACCAATGAGTCTGTGCTCATGCTGCTTAATAAATGGAGTTTTGTGCAACTGTGAACTGACAAAAGTAAAAATTTTAAAGCAGTGATTTAGGGATATATTTTATTGTTATAGGAGCAAACCATAGCTTCATTGAACTATGGTAGAGTGGGCATTGATATGGACATGAGAATCAGCAACGTGTTTTTGTCAGAATTAGATTCTGAGTTGTTTGCCTTTCGAAACTTGTTTTCCAACTTTGCAGGACAGACTAAAACAACGTGCACAGTCAACCCAAACTAAAGCAGTTTACTTTGGTACTTAACATATATACAAATAACCACAAGAGGGGGGCATTACAAAATGTGACAGTAAAAGGCCATTCAGCCCCTTGAGCTGGTACCATGGTTCAATTAGATCATTGCTGACCTTTTATTTTCTTTGTGTTCATGGAATGTGGGCATTTATGGCAAAAATAACATTCATAGCTTATCTAATTGGCCTCCAGAAAATGATGGTAAGCTGTCTTTTTAAACTGTTGCAGTCCCTGCAGTGAATGTACTCCCAAGTGCTAATAATTATGGACCCCCAGGATTTCCACCAAGTAATGAAGAAGGAACAGTAATATATTTGCAAGTCAGGATGGTATAGCAACTTGGAAGGAAACTGGCTTTCATTAGTGTTCCCATGCAGCTGATGCAAGTTTTACCACCAAAAAGGAAGTGATACAAGTTTGGAAGGGGTTGTCAAAAGAGCCTTGCAGAGTTGCTGCATTTGAATCCAATTTTCCTGTCTTGATTATACTCCTAAATACCTCTTACCTAATACAAATTTCAGTTTTGACGTTTTCAATTGACCCAGCCTTGACCTTTTTATTGTGGGAGAGATTTCTGAATTTTCTTTACCCGCTTGTATGAAGATATGCTTCCAGACTTCACTCCTGCATGGTCTGGTTGTGCCACCTTGTTCTACATTCCATTGAATTCGGCTTCCCACTGCAGCCTGTTATAGCTAGTTAATAAGTTTCAAATTCATGTCTGTGTGTTGGCTTGCCTGTAAGTTTTTTTTTTTTTATTTTTATTTTTATTTTTATTTTTATTTTTATTTTTATTTTT